TCAGTTTATGTTACGAATCATTGCAGCTGCTCTTTTTATTTCTTTTTAGCTTTTGTCAAATTTTCACTGTAGTCTTTCTTCATTTGTTTTCTAAGCAAGGGTGACCAAAAAACAGGGACTTCAAATGAGACGGATGCTAAGAAGACCATCATTTTGGTCAGAACAAAAAGAGGTGCAAACAAGAATCAAGTCACCTCAGTAAAAAAGAGCAGATCAATCTATGAGCACCACTCGCTTTGAAGCCGAATTGTCGGTGTCGAATTATCCCATTGACCAACTCTCAAAGATAATATTAATTTTAATTTCCAAGTAAAAAAAAAAGTCAAGAAAAGATAAATCAAAGATCATTAGAGATCCCTGCATAATGAGTAGTTATTTTGTAGTGCACAAAAAATTCCTCTAAAAATAGAAAATGATTCATGCAGTAAGGGATCAATCTCTTATCATTGTGCCAAATATCTTTCTTTTTTCTCCTCTAAAAAGAAATGAGATTTCCTCTTTGTGGCTCTTAACCCTTAATCCAACTCTTTTCTATCATTTTAGTCATTTAATGTACCATTTTAATATGTGAAGCAAAAAGATTTATGCATGTACATCAACCCTACATCACATGAAACTTTCATTTCTAACCATTCAATAACTTACCAATCAATGTATTGTCTTTTTCCATATTTTTTTATGAATGCACAACCAATACAATCAAATGATAATTTCTTATCCTATCTTTTATGCTATAAAGAAAAAATATCATGTCTGCATGCCATGTGATATGTTACTTATTTTACTATAATACACAATATCTTGCTTCAGCAGGCTTGTTAAGACAAAAGAATTCAGAATTATATCTATAGAAAAAGGGATGGGATCCTGCCCACTAGTAGGGTGGTAAATGAGCCGAGCTTGAGTGAGCTCAGACTTGACTTGTGTTCGGTTTGTTCAAAGTACTCGTGTTCGAAATCGGCTCGTGAACAACATGTCCGCATTGGGCACGAAATTGACTTGTTAAAATTAATTGAAAAAAATAGATTTTGAGTATTGGATTTGAATCTAGCCCAAATGTATGCAAAAGAAGACACATAACCACATTAGCACACAAGCTTTTATGATTTAAATTTAGATATAAATATATAAAATATTTTATTATTTAAATAATTATATGACTTTTTTTTATTTCAAGCTAAAACGAGCCGAACACGATTTATTATTTAAATAATTATATGACTTTTTTTATTTCGAGCTAAAACGAGCCGAACACGAGCGATTGAAGAACTGTTCGTGTCCGACTCATTTAAAATTTGAGTTTAGATTGAAAAATTGTTCGTGTCCGACTCATTTAAAATTTGAGTTTAGATAAATTGTTTGTGTTCGACTCGTTCACCCAACGAATGAGTCAAATATGAGCTACTTAACGATCCCAACACGAGTTACTCGCAAATAACGAGCCTTTTTGATAGCCCTACGCACTACTTGTTTACATCGTTAAAAAAAAAGAACGATATCAGTAATCCCAAAGCAATTTACATTAGCATGAAGCTCCTTAAACCACATATCTAATTTCATGCCTCACATCCTCTCTTTATAGAACTGAAACATTATACAATGTAATTAAGAATTGTGTCATCAGACGGTCATATTAAGCTCATTTGCATGAGAAATATTTATGTACGGAGAACGCACACAATTCTCTGCGTGTAATCCCCTCCTAATAACTTCTCAATAACCTCTGCAAGGGTTATTGGAGAGTTATTGAGCAGTTATTTCAGCGTTATTTGGAGTTAATACCCTCAACGGTTACACTTTCACATTTTTCTCTAGTGTTAGGATATTGACACCAAATAACACCCCAATAACCCCCCTAATAACCTTCGCAGAGCTTATTGAGAAGTTATTGGGAGGGAATTACACACGGAGAGCTGCAAGATACTTTTTCATTTGCGTATGATTTGGGGCCCTTTGGGAATGGGGCAGAGCGTAGTGATGTACAACTAGGGCTGTAAACGAGCCGAGCTTGAGCGAGCTCAGACTCGGCTCGTGTTCAGCTCGTTTGAAATAACGATTGTTCGAAATCGGCTCGTGAACAGTGTGTTCGTGTTCGGCTCGATTTAAATTTTCTTGTTCGTGTTCGGCTCGAAATTGGCTGGTTAAACTAAAATTGAACGATTCTCATGTATTTAAGTATATCACACCAAAATTTTATATTTACATGCATAGTATTTTGTGCTTTAAACCTATACATGAAAATGGATATTTCATTTTTAATATATGGTAATAGTGCTATTTCTTATGTGATAGTAAAGAATTGAGTGCTATGTGTATAAATATGGAAGTTTAGGTGTGAGATATGTAAATACATAAGAATTAACCCAATCCATCAGTCTAAACAAAGCATATAACCCAATCCATGTAAATACGCCCCTTTTTCACTTCAAAGATGACCATATAAACCAATCTATCAGTCCAAACAAAGCAAATCAACAAAGTCGCAAATACCTTATATCAATAAAGACAAAATTCACATCCCAATCCTATTAGAATTTCAATTCTTCAAAGATTGACAAAATGAATCAAGTGTTTGTCATCACCAAAGGACTTTAGTTGCTTGTCCATGCCTTTCATAGCTGCAATAATCTTATCCATACAAGGCTGAGATCATCAAGCAATGTAACATGAAATATATATTCAAAATTCCTAGAGCAGCAAACTACCATATGATTTTATGATTTATGGGGCAACAAACTACCAAGATTTTATGTAATATGAAAGATATAGTGGCAAGCCTAATACCCTGTACCATAAGATTAGAGGTGTTGTTTATTGGAAATAGTCATGCAAGTTGCAAACCATTGTATAAATACTCACATAGCAAAAAAAAAATCAGCTTAATTAGCCATGTAAAAGCCCTCACCCTAAGAAATCTTATGATGTGACACGAATCTTGAAGCAATCTTTTGAGCAAAAAAAACATTCAAATTACAATTAAAAGTCATCAAGAGCTTTGATTTTAGCAAATTTATAGTCAAACTGATCGACTCAATGAGAAAGACACAGTGATATCAAAATTAGTCTAATTCGAGTCAAATAAGCTCGGTTCAAGTCATTCAATTACTCTGGGAAGATTTACAGACACATTTGGATGGTCAAACAGATGCTGAGACTTGCGAGTTTATAGTCGAATGGAGCGTGTCAATAAGACGAATCTAACGAGGCTAAGATTGCTCAATTCTGACATCATTAAGGTATTCAAATGTACATCAAATATCGTCTGATCGAAGAAATCTCTTAGGACCGTCTGAACAAAGTGATTCATATTCCTGCATTAATTGCACTCATAATGATATAAATAGAGCCTCACCCCTCCCACCCCTCTCATGAGGAGTGAGAGGACTTATAGTGGCAGTAGGCACATCCTTCGAACATTGGGACAACACTTATGTTGAACTTATGGCCATTTCAACCATAAAATAGCTCAAGGAGCTGTGAATGATGGAAGTTAAGGAACTTAACCTAGAAGAAGATAGCAAAAATATTATAAACTCCCCAAACAGATCATGCATAAGCATAATGTTGAGTTTGCTTTCTTTTTACACTTCAAGAAATAAATTTTCAACACAAGGATATCATCACGCACAAGACATCCCATTGTTGTGGTCACTATGTCTTACATGGCAATTTTGTCATTAAACATATACATAATTCACATGTATTTTTTTCTTCTCAAGCAACATAATTTTGTACACTTTTTGTAATTATTTCGATATATTAATGGAAAATGCAGTATTTCAAATAGACAAAGAAAAGAGCATCAAATATTGTTAAGTGATTGTGGAGGACCGATTGTGAAAGCATCTCAGTTGACATAACCTTAAGGCCCGGTTGGGGCAGTTTATTTGGTGCGGTGACGTTTTGAAAACGCACCGGACCTGTTTGGGTAAACTGTGTTTTGACAGCTAATGTGTTTTCAAAACACAGAAAACTGTGTTTCCACACCGCACCTATCTAGGTGCGGTGGGAGCTTATTGACAATGGTCTGACTTTTCCAAAAAAATAAAAATTTGTAATAGTCACCTCACCTAGCTTATCAACAGATAACAGATTATTTTTAATCAGCTTATCAGCAGATTATTCAATAAACTACAACTGCCTCAAACAGACCCTTAGTCTATGCACCATCTTGACCTTTATCATTCCAAAAATGGATGAGAAGTAATGAATATGCATTTTTAGCAAATTAATAAACAAAATCACAATTAAGTTCAATTTTTTTTTTTGTTGTTCCTTGAAGAAATTCTCAATAGATTCATGTATATATTATTTTTCTAAAATGTGAATTTGCAGCGAAAAAGGTGCACCTCTGAAGGCCTCTCTTAATGGTGAGTCATAACTTTCAATTAACCCAATCTGCGTAGTCTTTTCATGGGACACTCGAACATTTGTTAGGAAATTTTAATGTCTTATATTTTGATGATACTGTTGCATACAACCCTCATTGAATGTCCACCTACACAAACTAAGATAAATTTTAAAGACATTTAGCGAACATAAGTTCTCCCGAACCTTCCAAAGTGTGAATCTTCAGCAGAAGAGGTGCATTTACTAGGCTTTATCATTTCCAAACATAGAATTAAATAAATATATCCAAGAAATGTAGGAACTATCATATCCTATATGATGCCAACTACTATAAATGAAGTGTAGAGTTTTCACATGTTCTCCAATTTCTATTTATTCAAAATTTTAGCATTATCGTATCTCCAATTATTAGGTTTCATGTCGCCCGTCGATGAGGTATATAACGACGTGACGCTCGATAGTTGACCGTCTAGATATGTGACATAATATTTCCTTCACTATGTCATGCATATTTTAATTGGATTGAAAAATTGCTTGGGTTGAACGAGTCCTTTGATTTTTTAAACAGAACCAACACGTGGCATATTTCCATTGGATGGATGGCTCCAGTCAGCGGTCCTTTTTTTTTTAATATGGAGGTATCTGGTAATCTCTTGAAAACTTGCTCCTCTCTCTCTCTATCTCTCTCGCTATCTGTGACCACGAGCGCTGCCATCTCGATCTGCTCTGCGGAACTCGGAGCAAGCTCACGGCAACTTTTCACCCACTTGGCGCTGGTCACCGCAAAACCCTAGAGCCGGAGGTACGTCTTCGGTTTTTCCAATCATGTACTATGCCAACGCATCATCACGATTAGAGATTTCATTGCGTTATGTATTTCTGATCCAATTCCCCGCCCTTCGTGGGACGACCTCTTGCTCAACGGTTCTTTTGGCGGAAACGAAGGAGACCTCTGATGTTCAGCTTATCTGTTAGTTGGATGTCTTTTTCTCCTTTTTCATGCGTAATTATTGCCTTTGCGTTGCAATCATCTTCATGTTACGCCGTTGTCTCTTCAATCACAACAGGGATGGCGATATAGTAATATTACTTTACGTAGTGATATTGGTATTGCATCTCCATCCCAATACCACCCAATATCGTATCAATACCATCGATCCGCATCTAACTCGTTTGCATGTAATATTTTTACCTATTTTTAAGGCTCAGAATTTAGGGGCTAGTAGCAATTTTTCCTTGGATTGTTAGTAGCACCTTGCTTCTTTTCGAGTTCCTTTTTGTGAACTGGCTTCATTTTTGGGTAGCACCTTTGAATAGTTACTTTGTCGGGATGCTTATGTTCTTTGTCCAACGGAGAAGGGAGAGATTGATGGAATATTTTTTGGCTATTGCAAATGGAGAAGAGAGAGATTGATGTTCTTTGTCCAACGGAGAAGAGAGAGATTGATGGAATATTTTTTGGCTATTGCAAATCTGATTTTACTTAATTTTTTGTAGTTAAACATTCATAAGTGGATGGATATCTTGATGCATCATGGGAATTATGCAATTACCTCAATTTCATGATTATACTACCCTCATGCTAGTGGATAAAGTTAACGAGTCCCGTTGTTTAACTGCTGATTGAAATTTGTGTGCTATTCTTATTTTAATTTATGTTTGTAGCTTTCTAACAAGGCTTATTGGTGTGATTGATCATTTGATGTATTAAAAAATTTTTGGTAGGTTGTTGGTGTCTATCTATGATGAGCTATGTTTTCAGTATTTACTTAAAGTGACGAAGCCCTAGGATTTTGAGTGTTGAAGGTTAAATCAACCTAGAAGGCTATTACTTTGAACTTGAATTGCTATAGATGAACATGACATTAAATCTGACATAGCCACATGACAACTATCCTCTAAGCATGCAGAAGAGAATTTTCTAAAAGCTTCAACTAGATGGTTATGAAATTCATAAATCCCGATCCAATAAGGGAGATTTTAGTTTCTTAAATGAATATTATATAACCAAAAACCACCTGACTGTGTAAGGGTTTCAAAAATGGATAAATTTTCAAGAAGAAATGCCGAGTTTTCTAACAAAGCTACCTTACCGAGCTGACAAATTGATAATTTTGGGCAATCGACACTAGTTGTTGAGTATGATTTTAAGATGAAAGGCCGAATAATTTGCAAAGTTAACGAGATAGTCCAGTGGGACCCTTCCACTACCCTAACAAGTTATGCTTAATAGCTCGCCCTCAAGTGTGAAATCCGATTGAGAATGCTCACTCATTCGCCAAAGGGACGGAGTTCTCTCTATTGTTAGCTAGATTGATTCATAACAAGAAGAACAACTCGCTCTAAAACCGAATTAATCAGTGCCAAATTACCTGAAAGACCAAATAGGTCGACAAGGATAGGACCTAATAAGCATTTCAAGGAACATGTCAAAATACGGTGCTGCTAGAGATAGTATTAATTGTAATATCAAAGTTAGAAGAAGACAATAAAATGATAAATTAAAGATCTTTCAGGATTAGTATGTGATGAATAATTAATTTTAATGTGCGAAGAACCCCTCTATAAATAGAGGAATATTATCATAGAATTGAGATTGATTCTATGAAAATCATTGTACAAGACTTAACTTTTTTGTTTCATATGAAATAAAATTTTTTCACTCTTTTTTCATTCTTTCGTTTAATTCTATTATTTTTTTAATGTGTGAGTCCAATGAAAAATCAAGTTCCACCATTTTAAAAGATATGTGAGCGTATAGATTATGTCATAAACAAGAAAATGAGTTGCATAAGGAGCACAACCAATTAACAAACATACCACTAATAACATGAAATGCACTAGAGAGTTATGATATAATGGATTAATGAGCTAAAAGGGCAAATGTTGAAAGTAATAAAAGAGATGCTAGTGCTGGGGGATCATGTGCTCCCTTCTCTTCCAAATGCAGTAGTACGATAGAGAAAGGCATTCTCTTTAGCGCTAGAGAAACCTCGTCGCTTGCTTTGGTAAGCGAGGATGAGATTTATCATTCTGATTGTGTCGGTTTAGCCCTCACAAATGCAAGGGAGATAAGAATTGGGACTCCCCAATTATATCAATTTGTGAATGTTTTTTCTAGAAAGATTGTCGAATAGAGGCACCGAAAAGATTCAAAATTTTGTCTTTGGAATCTTATAGAGGTAGATCTGATCCTCTAATCATATCACATTGTTTGAGTCTATGGTTGATTTGCAAAGGATAAATTATGCTTTATTTTTCATGACTTTGAAGGATTTTGTGCTTAGATGGTTTAATTGCTTATTGCTAGATGTGATCACTTTCTATGCGATTTCAACTATATGTTTGTTGCACTATTTGCTAATGCACATAGGCTACAAAAGAGTTTGCAAATTAATTGCGAATTCATCAGGAGATATTTTCAAACTTTTGCTACTCACTTCCAATGGGAATTGTTGGAGGTTAGAGACCTCGAATCTGCAATAGCACACACTTTATTGGCCAAAAGTTGAGGGAATGTCCCTTCCAATATGCCCTTAGCCTACGATGATCACGAACCCTTGCCAAGTTATTGGAACTAGCCAACAACTATTTTTATGCTAAAGAATACAATTCTCTTCCTACTACCTCCAATATTGAGCCCTAGAAATCATACCCACTGTAGAGTAACTTTGCCTAGATTAACAGAACGCAAGTTTCCCTGCACGACCTGTGATAAAAACAAACTTGGAGAAGTATTGGCCGTGTTCCTTAAGAAAAAGAACATATTTTCAAGAAGTTAGAGATCTAATAAAGGACAAATTCAATTTGACGAGAGGTAAGTTGATCGCCGAGTAGGAAGGTCATCACCGCATACCTAGAAATTACCTATGCATTTTTCATTGAGTCTCAATGGCATAGATTGTAGTGGCCACTGAGAACAAGGAGTATTTTTGTAAGCCAATGTACATGAAGGTTGGGGGTCATATGTAGTCCTACATAGGTATTGTGTGAATTATCATAACCACAATCATGATACTAAAGAATGTAAATATCTTAAGAATTTGATTGAAGAACTAATCAAAGTTGGAAAATATTTATTGGCACTAAGGGGGATAAAATAGAGGTAAGGGAGGAGCCAGTTGAGGAAACTTGCAATGAGATACTCTGAACTGAAGTGATTCACATAGCAGCCATGATTCTAGCCATCTCAGCAGGGATAGTCTGGAAGCTTTTATTTTAATCAATCCTCAACAAGCTCTGATCTTCAGAAGGTATTTGGAGACTTCATCGTTTCGCCAGTTTGTGAGCCATTCACTTATAATGATCATAAAAAAAGATGTACTTGTCGAGGAAAACCCCTATAATGATATAGTTAAGATCACAAAGGTGATCGTAAATTATTAGATCGACAACATCCTCGTAATACAGGGTGCTCTATCAACATTCTCTTGAAAAATTATATTGATAATATGAATTTTCGTTCATCTCATTTGACCCCAACTTTGGGCTCCCTGTATTGATTCTCAGGAGAGAAAAAGAAACTAAGAGAGTCAATATTACCAATCACTTGGGGAGAAAATGACAAACAATTTATTGTAATGGTCGACTTTGCGATAGTTGACTCTGCCATGACTTATAATGCAATTTTTGATCGTTTCCTTTTTAAAACTTTCAAGACAACCGTCTCTACACATATCATTGTTGTCAGACTCCTAGGCATTGGGGAGGTGATTACTGTCCGAAGGGACTTGAAGTATTCTCGTAACTACTATCAGTTGGTAGTAGGCAACATGATAGAAGAGATCTTATAGCTCGAGACAATGCTGAAGTGGCATAGAAACAGCTAAAGTCATTGAAAAAGTCTTCGAAACTTAGAGTACAGGTAGAACATTTCACCTGAGCACTATTTTAATGCATAATCTAGGGATAGATTGGTTGTCATCCTCTAAAAATACAAAATTGTGTTATCTTGGTCAATTAAATAAATGATAGGAGTCGAAATCGATGTCGTTTTTCATAGGTTGAGCATCAATCATAGAGCTCAATCAATGTTGCCATCATACTCGCAGATCTATTTGATTGGAAGTACATAAGTTTTAGATTTGGGGTACATCAAGGAGGTTCAATATCTGAACGGGGTCACAAATGTGGTTGTGGTACCGACATCTAATGGGAAATGATGGATGTGTGTCGAGTTCACAAACTTGATTTCGACAAGTCTCAATGATTGTTATCCATTATTGCGAATTGACATGTTTGTAGACTATATAGTTGGCTACTCGGTCATGAGTTTTTTGAATGTTTTCTTTGGCTTCCATCAAATCAAGATGCTCCTAATTGATGCCAAGAAGAATGCATTTATCATGAATGAGAAAACCTATTACTATAATGTATTGCCCTTTTGGCTTAAGAATGCTGATGCTACTTACTAAAATATTATGGATGTAATTTTTAATGAGCAAAAAGAAAAAAAAATATTATGGTGTATTTTGATGATATCTTAGTTAAAAGTTAATTAACCAGAACAACATATAAAAGACCTTAAGGAAGCTTTGGAAATGTTGAGAAAATACATTGTGAAGTTAACCCACTTAAATGTATATTTTGGGAAGGATAAAAAAAATTTTTAGGCTATTTTCTCACTCTAGAAAGTATCGAAGTAACTCTGAAGAAAATAGAAGTATTTATGGAGATATCATCATCTCACAACATTAAAGAATTATAAAAATTAACTGTTTGAATTGCGGGTTTTAAGTCGCTTCATTTCAAATCCAATAAAAAAAATGCAGCTTTCTTAATGGTCTTAAAAAGTGTGAAATA